CATAGAATACTAAGTCCACATAGAGGGGACTGATAGAGAAATTAAGTCTGGCACAAAATACCTCGGTATATTCCATCCACTGACCTTACTCAGTCATGCCATTTTTGGTCGATCCTCAGGAAGACGTTTCGTCCATGCTAACACAATTGAAGTAGCTAAGACACACTGGAATTACTCAACCTCTATTTTGAAAATTGTGCAGCTCTAATCTCCTACATATGGAAAGATACTGCTCCTCAAAGCTAGTCATTCTTGATCAACTGGGAAAGGACAACGCCTATTCGGGTAGGGTATCAGCAGGTGTCAATAGAGTCAGTGGTGTACAACTTAGTCTTACAACTTGTCAAGTACCACATTTGTTGTTAGACATCTGAACGCATGCGAGAAACCGTCTGAATCCACATTTTCTCACCGTCAACACCCACCACCTCTATTCTCAAATCTCCACACACACCTTTATCTCATGTGGTAGAAATGAGAGTCAGTGCAAAAGATTGTACGCTTGTACTGCCAAGTGTAAGAGCTCAAGGGTTCCATGTTTGGCCATCATGTCTTCTGGGCGATGGAGACAATAATGAGTGCAAAACCTATGAGTTACTACGTTGTTAGCAAGATAACCGGCTCTCTCATTTTCTTCTACTTGTAATCTATGCTTTTTATGACTAGCCCGCTTTTCGATTAGCGCGGTACTTTTTTCTGTGATATATAAATATATCGTTTCCTGGTTGTTTCTCACCACAAAGTTCTGGAAATTATTGCAATCCCTTAACTATCAAACACTTAAAACTTTGGATATAATATCATCGACTACTTATACCTATAAGAAAGTTTTTCTGACATTTTGTGACATTTTAACACTAACATATCTATATTTGTATATTTTGTTGGATTTATATGTTCAAGTTGGCCCAAGTCAGTGAGTCTGTGGTTTTGGTATCATTTTAGTTAACTGTGCTTAACTGTATTGCATGTTGTTGTATTGTATTGTTGTTGTCGCTTTTTGCCCTTTTTGCTGTGAATTACTTTCCTTTTGCTGGTGTTGTTCCGATTGTTTTGTCCGTTGTTTTCCGAGTTTAAGGGAAGCAACCCAAAAGGTCGCTTCTCTCTAAAATTTATGTCAAGGTAACAATTCATTCTTCAGGCGTGAGGCTAGCAACCACACCCTGTAAACAAAGTTGCTACAGAAACTTCAGCACGATGAGCCTACTTGCGCCAAAAGAAAGAGTCTGTGTGAGGAAATGGAACGTCCGAACTATGTACGAGACTGGGAAAGCTGACCAGATCGCAAACCAGGTGAAAAGATACGGAATCCAAGTACTGGGAATATGTGAAGGTAGATGGAACGAGAATGGACTCAGCAAATTGTCAACGGATGAGTCAGTGATCTACTCCGGCCACCCAGCAGATAACCACATGAACACCGATGGCGTGGCTATCATGATGTCACCAACGGCAACGAAGGCTTTGATGCAATGGGAGGCGATCTCGTCCAGGATAATCACCGCACGATTGAACTCCAAAGGAAGGAAAGTGTCAATCATACAATGTTATGCACCCACAAACAACGCAGACGCCGAAAAGAAGGAAGAATTCTACAGACAACTGCAGGCAACAATGGACAATAATCCAGCTGGCGACATTAAAATACTAATGGGAGACAAGAACGCCAAGCTAGGACCAGACAACACAGGAAGGGAACTCATCATGGGTAGAGAAGCTCTCTGACGAAATCTCAGCACGAATACAAGGGGCTCGTTTCGCATTTGTTAGTTTACGCCGACTCTGGCGTAGACGAGATGTTCGACTACCGACCAAAGGGCGGGTGTACTGCTCATCAGTCCGCTCCGTCCTCCTTTATGGTTGTAAGACCTGGCCACTGAGAGTGGAAGACATGAAAAGACTAGCTGTCTTTGATCATAGGTGCCTGCGTTCTATTTCCCGTGTAAAGTGGCATAATAAGGTGAGCAACATGGAGGTTAGGCGTCGAGTTCTAGGTAAACAGGGGAAATCAATCGACGAAGTCGTGAAGCTACAAAGACTGAGATGGTTAGGACATGTGTTACGTATGCCAAGCCATCGCCTTCCTCGACGAGCAACGTTAGCGGATATAGGGTCAGGCTGGAAAAAAGCTAGCGGCGGTCAAACAAAAACTTGGCATCAGTCAATGAAATCCACAACAGTTGGTCTAAGCAGCCACGTAGAAAGGTGTAGACTTCCAGGCTGGGGTCCTCGGGACGGTAAAAATCTATGGTTGGAAACAATTGGTGACATGGCTCAAACTCATCGTTCTCAGTGGCCGGCGCAGATGCATCCACTCCTTGTGACTTATGATCTCCAATGATTTTGTTTTGTTCTTTGTTACTACTATTCCTTTGTCTCACACCTCTGCTCACTGTTTCTATTGTGCTTTTCTTGTACTTTCTTCTCTTGCTTCGCGTGCTACACGGAATGTGGCGACTTGAACTTCCGCACATTTGTGCAAAGTTCTATGTCGAAAACAGACAGACAGAGAAGCTCTCGGAGAAATGAATGAAAATGGAGAACTCTTCGCCGACTTCTGCGCCTTCAACGAACTAGTGATTGGTGGCAGCGTATACAAACACAAAGATATCCACAAGGCTACATGGGGGTCACCAGATGGGCAAACCAAAAACCAAATAGACTTCATCTCAATGCAGCTCAAGGAAGTGGAGGCGCAGCTAACTGGACACAAAAGTAAGAAGAGGAGCAGACGTTGACTCAGAATACTATCTCGTACAAGGGACAATCCAAATCAAATTAAAAGGGTTCCATGTTTGGCCATCATGTCTTCTGGGCGATGGAGACAATAATGAGTGCAAAACCCATGAGTTACTACGTTGTTAGCAAGATAACCGGCTCTCTCATTTTCTTCTACTTGTAATGTATACTGACACTATCTCCATCAACTGTCAAAACCAGCTACTGACATCAGTGTTATTTTTGTATATATACGAATTCAATTTCATCACAAACGTGAAGTGACAACTGTCATTACTAATCCAGTATTGGAATCTTTGTAGTTGTTGTAGTTGTTATTCGATAAGATTGAATGCAGTACTGTTCCAGATGCTGAGAATCCACGTTATGTCACTTGTTGTGTTTCCGAATAAATCTAATTATTGTTATGTTTATTATAAAATGAAGAAATTAGCGCAATATGGAAGCATCAAAGCCATCTCATGTAGTTTCTCGAAGGATCAGTGAAGTTGTTTGTGTTGAGGTGGAATTGATTTTTCACTGCAAGCAGACTGATCGCCATCGTAACGAGATTAGACCATTCATCCATCAGTTTCGTCAAGTGAATTTCAAGGAGAATATGCCCTGCATGTAACTCGTATATACAGTCATATCAATGATATCCTGGAAACATGAGTATACACAGTGTAAGTGTTCATAATCGATGTTCGCCAGCTCACGCATACAAATAACGCATGAGACCTGCTTCACATCGTACAATGAAACAATTTACACAAGATGGATTTATTTGTGTGGTTTCAGGTAAAATTGTTCCACCGTTTGTTTGATGAATATTTGTCAATGTTACTAATTATTTGTATTTTTCAAGTAATTTCATAGAATGAGAGATTTTCAGGCGGGATATTGTGTTCACTACAAAATAGCAGTGAGAACTGCCTCATTTATTCAGTGCACATACTCCACGTGAGTCGGCTGACTTTACTCACAATTCAACTGAATCCATTACATCTCATTTGATTTGTCTAAATTCACTTCACCACTGTCCGTTGTGTGCATCTCACTTCGAGTTTGCAACATCAGTGTGAAGATCACTGCATTCAAGTTCTTCCCTGTTTGAGCGCTAATACAATGCTTCCATTTGTGGTTGTGCAGTAAACTGATAATGTGTGGACTTCCGATGTGGTTCTGGTTGAGTGATTCAAGGTGATTCTGATCTTCGAACATCCAAGAGTATCCGTAAATCCTAAACTTATTTCAACTACAAATTGAATGCATCTCAAATAGAGAAATTACTAAATTTATATAGACATTAATTGTGACAAAAAACGAGGATGCTCCAAATTTGCTCTCCTCAATTTATGCCTCCTGTATGAAGCATTGAAATACAAATGCAATTGACATCTGACAAACACCAGATTCCTGATACGACAAGACTGAGTTGAGAGGAGTCTAGATACTGATCACACTTCGAACAGATGAGGAAATGCTTGCAATATCATCTCACATGCTTGACTAAGACGCACATTGTATTCCTAGAATGTACGATCATGCAACACGTGTACATGGAAGCCGATGATTCTCTTCGATAAACTCCACACAAGCGAACCTCATAATCAGTGAATTCTAACTTCTTTTATTTCCCTATCAGATCACCACGCTAAATGTATTCGTCATTATCCCGAATTCCTTCTGAAGCAACATAACTATAACTGGGTTCTCGATCTTATCAGTACTCACTTCTCGCTAGAATGATTTTTGGTGATGTACAAGTAGTGGTCTATTATTACTCTTAACCTAACTTGGTAATCCTTATTTGATTGGATTACCTAACGTTTGTGTTAATTATTCTTAATTCCGTTTTCTCTCACTTTGTTTAATTTAACCTTTCTATATATATTGACATGACAAGTAAATGTGTGATCAGATTGTTCGAAATGTATACCGCTAATACATCACATTGCTTTTCAGGTAGTCTCCGTCTTCTTATAATTCTATCAAAAGATAGAAAGACGTTGGCATATTAAGCAGCTCTGATCATTTTAAAGTTAACAACCTTGGAGAGGTTTATCACGTCGCAGACGAATACACGTATATTATTGAAATGATCAGTAAGAGAGCGTATCAAGAATATGACTTCTGACGCATCAAATGAAAGCACAGTGCTCAGTGAATAAATTTCGCGTATAAAATTATCTTTTAAATGAAAAGAATTTCTTACAACGCACCTCTGAATGTGTTTCTACCCCATTTGTATTTGTATGCAGTTTCCAGGCAGGCCGTATCTAAAATAGATTGTCCATCATTTCAATAGATACGGTTCGCTTAAACTTTTCTACTTCTCCTCGTAAGCTTGCATCTTCACTGAGAATCTTGTCTAGGAAACAGAAAAGCAAGAGCCTTGAAAGTTAACAACTTTATGGAGACGTGTATTTTAGTGATGTCAGAATATGCTAAGTATTAGTCGACATGATCGATGTCATGATTAGTATTAAATTCCAAAGAATAATTCGAAGCATAATTTCGTCAGTGTGTAAAAATTAATCATTAGCGATAGGTCTCTAGGTTTTATTTACCTGTAATATTTTGAATTTCTCCTTCTGCAAATTTGAGTTCCGAAATTGCTCTGGATATTCCATCTGTGGAACGACGAGAATATTTCAAATGAATTGTTATATATTATGTAAGACTACTTAGTGCAAATGAATAATACACATTGAAAATAGTTTCACTGTACACAACTGAAAGAAGTTCAGGTGAGCCAATCAATCTCCACACTGTCTTCAATGATTTCATATCAGTTTTCGATTCGTCAAGAAAGACCATGGCTACAACGTTCATTGTAAGACATTCGTTATTCTCAAACAATTTTAATGACAAATCACCAAGTAGATCAATAAGCTCAAATAACATGCACGTTATTCATTCTTACGTTCAGAATTTTCTTTCAAATTTTCAAGTAGAGTTACATTTGTCAATTCACCTTGAAATGAGATGAAGAAGTGTAAACGACAATTATTATGCAGAGAAGCAGTTTCAGAACACTGAAGATTATCAGAACAATTTCTCCAATTGTATTCAAGTATCAAAGTTATCTAGAGGGCTTTATGTATTGCATTGCAGTGCAGAAACACACCATCGAAAAATGTATATTCGGGCAATCTTAGGATACTTTAGCCGAAAAACACTATAAGAATGCATGTCACTGAGCATGTCACTGTACAATTGTTAATATACGTAGTCTCTGAGTTAGAATAAGAGGAGAGACGTCTCCACGGGTACTATTACATTGCCGTTCACCATCTATTAATCAAGAAGAATTAAAGATGAATGCATATGCGAATGAGAAATCTAAATGCTGAACACTATGTACGACCAAAAATAATTGTCACGCAAAACTCAACGAATCATGTAGTATCTTTCTCAATGAAATTACAGGCTGCGGCAAGCAAAGTATTATTTTATCCTCTGTTGATATAAATTCCATCAAAACATCTTTCATTTGCTCTGCTGATGACGCATTTGTCTTCAATGTCAGTAACTTTCATGTTTTCAACATTTTCGATATTCTCAAGTATTTGAAATCTTCAAAACTTTCCTAGAACCTACGTCCTCATTGTGTACCTGCTGTTGTCCTTAGAAGATGAGCTGATATTTTGTGTAACCCACTTACAAACATATTCAAAACTGACTTCTCCAGAATTGTTGTGTATCCCTCGTGACCTGGTGTTATAAGGCCTCCAATTTTCACAGTAATGTAGGAACGACCCTTGCTTGAAATTGCCATCCCTTTGAAGAGATACCGAGGTGAATGAATATAGAGTCAGAATGAATATGGAATTCTCCAGCTGGTCACTACTCGCTATTCATTATTACGAACGGATTTCATGAAGACACAAGCACACACAGAATTAGTCAGTATAAGAATAGGCGAATATCAATAAGCTGAAGTGAAGTATGCGAAACAAGTGAAATGCAAAGAGCATGGGAATGGTTCACTTCCCATGAGTTCAGATAAATCAGGGGAATCCGGCAGTTCAGCAAAGATAAATTAATCACTATGTACATGAAAAGGATAGAAACATTCCGACTACTTTGTCATACAGGATTAACGAAAAAGCGACGCGTCGTTCAGCGAGGAGTCTTTTTGAGACCAATCTATTCACTTAGCTGTACAATCGCAATTACATTTCGAATTATTTTGTAAGTGTCTGTATGTGTGTGTGTGTGTAAATCAGGCTTTTTCGATGATAATAATAAATGCAGAGTATATTCTGGCTTTGATATCCTCGTCAGTTCCGCCTGTAGTTGAGACGATTTTTTCGAGGTAGATGAAAGAGGTTGTGTCTTCTAGGTTCCTCCCATTCATGATGACTGTCGTCTGTTGTTGTTGTTGTTGCTGTTGGTGTTGGCCAGGAATCTTCATCACCTCTGTTTTGTCTATGTTCAAAGACCATAGTAGAATCTGTTCGGAAAATAAAGTGAATGTTTTCAGTGAATCAATAGAAATTATTAAAGTTTTTTGCGTACACTTGTGATGTGATTCGAATACCTCATGAGATAACATCGAAGTTTGATCCACAGACGTAAAAACACATGTGCTGGCTTACATGTCGCAACTTGGATATTCACCCAGGTTTTGTGCCTACATCAACCAGCCCAAAGTGATACACCACTAATTAGCTTGGTTCCACATATAAGCGAAATAGCCATCCTCTGTATGGAATGAATCCCTTCCATCCTCCTACGAATCATTGCTGGTTGACCTGAGTGGTAGACAAATACTCACCATCATAGTAATAAACGGATAATATATTATCATCGGAGCAATCTGAATTTCCAAAGGAGTCCGTGGTAAAATTTCACCTGCTCAGATTACGTGAGTTCCAAATAGCTGAATAATTTGAAAATTGCTATTTCAATTTAATAGCATAACTGTAGTCACGAAAGGACTTAAGTAGCCTCAGAGTTCCAGAGTCACCTGCAGGGAGGATTTACAATAGGTCTTGTTCTGGATCTAGCTTTAATTAGGAAAATGATATTTATGTCGTCCCGTAAAACCGCCTAGCACTGGAATCATAATATTGCATCCTCCTGTGTTTATTCATTTTCAGTTCAGTGTGATCACACGGACGTAGGGAGGATTCACCGGCCCATTCTTAAATGTCCAGAACAACTTGGATCACCTATTACAAATCATTCAAATTCTTCTGTCGCTAGGCTCATCACAGAGACAAGTCATAAAGTCGATTTCAGTAGTGATTTCAGATGCAGAGTATAAAACAGGTTTTACTAAATACACTAATTCGATGAAGCGCAAGCCATATAAAGCCCTAAATCTGGTTCATACGTTCAAGAAGACGCATTAATTGGAATCTGTCCTGGTAATCAGTTTTCATAAATTATGTTAATTTTGCTCAAGGATATTTTCACCATTTTACAATAATCTTGACCCTTAACACATTTGAGACCTTTAGTTATTCACAATTGATCCAACGTAATCTGTTGGCTTTTCTGATGAGAATGTTCAAAATACCCTGCATTGTGTCTTCTAATTGTTTTGTAGAAATCAGTTCATCTACTTCCAGGTGAATGGCACAACAAACCTCAATGAACATTCAGAAACGAAACAGAGTTATATATATATGTGTGTGTGTGTGGAGACATATTGAATACTGTGGGAGTCTGTGTCTGCATATCATATTTTGTCATCATAAAGAGAAATAGCACTATTATTATTATTATTATTATCAACTAAATGCATTTTCCAATAAAAATTAGTGCTCACGGCAGCTATATCTCCGCATTATCTTTGTGAACTATATGTCAGTTAATAGTGGGGTAAGTAATTTTTGCTATCCAATTTATTTACTGTTCGCCTCCTAATACTCAATAAAGAACCAAGGCTTAAGATTAAGAGAGTTTTAAGTCATGTTTATGCTCTTATTAGCAACACTGATGATATATTGTCTTTATTCGCAGAAGACCAGTACCCACATGATAATTCACTCAACAGAAATATCGATGTGGACAAGATTTACCGACCAATAAAGGTGAAGTCATACAGCACTTGGCTCAGCTTACAAATCTCTGAAATGATTGATATACAAGTGTTTAGAAAGGTATGAAAACTGCTGAGGCAAACAGTCATTATGAAGGTCATCATATATATGGAAGACGTCATTCATGAGGATTTCCGAAGTATCCCTCCGAAATGAATTTAAAGTCGATTATGCAGTCTAAACTGGCTTAGAGTTGTCAACGATAATATAATTAAACGCAAGGAACCAAATCACAGTGAAGACAGTCCAGCAAGCAATAATTCTTCTAGGTAATTTTTGTCAATTTATCAGCCGTAGCATATCCATAGGCCTAATGCAATGCAAGAGTATGTGAATCTTAACGACCTGCACACATGCTCCAAAAAAAAACGAATACATAAACAGAAAACTATGAAAATCTAGCTGCATCATTTGAGTCAGTAGTTGGCTTGAGTGCATGCCTCCAGTTCTCCAGACTGCTTACCGGGTTGATTCCTGTGATTATAATCATCGGTTGACATAAGCGTATTTAAATTGATGTGCTGCTTATAATGTTTATGTGAAAGATTGCGGAAAGCAAGACTTACAAGCTAGTCATTACTGTATAAAAGCGCTAATCTATATCAACCATTTCGTCCACCTGAAAAATAAAATAACCATAAATTATGAATCTCATTGCTGACACCAATAAGAGATCGCCGATGCTAACATATTTACGAAAATTGTTATGAAATGCTTTTCAACATGGTAATAAACTTCAAATGCTTCACTGATGAGATTATTGACTTTTTAGGTCTACCTATTCAGTATCAACGTCCGGAGTAAAAAGATTTGTTATAGATGTAAGTGACGCGCAGGTAATTTTGACTTCCCATGGAACAACGATATACATCCACATTAAACAAGAAATCATATACATATATACTGAATTCAATAATTTTGGCCTGGAATATACACAGAAATATGTCAACTCCCAGTAAAAATCAAAGATTTCAATATGTCACAGTCAGCCCTCTCCCTTCCCATTAAACCCTACTCACGTATACTACGTGTTCAGGATTTACATTAGTGATGGAATACAAACAGCGCAAATTGTGTTAAGCGGTGTGAAATGTCTTTAACCTCATCGGTGCTCCACTTTGTGTTACTGTGATCTAATAAATGGCATGTCAGTAAAATAAACACAGAAAAAAAACTAGAAAAACTTGAAGAAAAAAGGCGACATTTTAGTTTTACAAAACGATCACTATTCAGGACTGGCATAGACTAAAAGACGTCATAAACAGTCGAATCACACAGTTCGTAAACATACATTCACATGAAGAATGAAGTCACTGAGATTCTGAATAATCACAAGAAAATTATACCAATGACAAGTCATGAGGAATGAACTACTTACCTGAGAAAGACTAACCACCCAACACTAGACGATATGAAGCTCACTTAGAGAAATGATCAATGAATGTCTAAATATATCCACTTCATACTCTAAACTTTGACTCTCAGTGTGTGTTTTTTCAATATTTATGGTAATTTGTTTATTGATTCGTACCAAAGGCTTCAATTCACATCAGAGTTTCGGTTTTTTACTTATGAATATAACGAAGTCGTTATATACCTATTCAAGTCAGCCTTCTAATCAAGACTGAAAACGTATTACTTTGAACCATTTGATGAAGGGGGCGAGGGTTACTGAACCGTATATGTTAAGAAACAAAACAATTAGTGATATTAGCGTTAATTTAACTGTATCCGTGTGAATGTGTTGTTTATGGTGGTGGGTGTTTATGAGACAGTTGTGTTCAAGATCATGAATGCGTCGAACACTACAAAGAAAACAATTCCACCTCCAATATGTGGAGATCTTGTGATGAAGTGATATTTGATTTGGAGTGTGGTTAGTGTAAGGGGTGTCTACAACAGATTAAATGAAATCTGATTA